TGAGCTAGGTAGGGTAATTAGGGCAAGCGGAGTTGCAAATGAAGTCCGGGATTTAAATATCCCGGGCTTCATTTGCATGTTCCCGGGCACCACCATTTTTAAATGGCGTGGAATGAGGAGTAACGGTAGTTTGAATTAGGATCTTTAATTCGAACTACCTACTCTGAGCCGCGGGCACGGAGTTCGGACTAAGGGGGATTTAAAAATGCCGGCGCCCGGGAACATGCAAATGAAGCCCGGGATATTTAAATCCCGGACTTCATTTGCAACTCCGCTTGCCCTAATTACCCTACCTAGCTCAAACTAACGAGCTAGTCCCAGCTCAGAGAGAAATAGGCAGAGCAAGCGAGCAGGGTCTGGCAAGAAAGATCGAGGCTTTCTTCCCCCCACACACCCTCTGAGCCACTCTGGATTTATCAACATGAACTGTGCAGCCAGAAGCAGACCTGAGGGGGAGTGGTGTCAGTGGCCAGTGCTGAGCCCAATGACTATGAGGCTTGAGCAGCAATGCGGGCTCCCCGCTGCATGGGAGAGAAAGCTGGGGGATGAGCGTGAGCCGCAGACCACCTGGGAGGACCACACTTTGAGAACCACTGATCTAGAGGATACCAGGGTTATTAGGAATAGCCAGCAAGGATTTATGTATAGCAGTGTTTCTCAAAGAGGGCTGGTTTGGAAAAGCCACTAGCAAGCCCGCGCCACTTTCTTTACCTAAAGCAGTGTTTCTCAGAATGGATCCATGGACCACTTTGAGAAATATGGACCTAAAGGGTCCATAGCCATGGAGCCTCACAGATCCCATTGTTTCTAGACAAGAGGATCCAAGGAAAGGCTACAGACCCTTTAGGTAAATAAACACTCTAGCAGCTTTTCCAAAGTGGGCCCATAGCACACTTGAAAACACTGCTGTGTAGCATATAAAGCAGTACAAACAAGTCATTATCTGTATGAAATTTTAGTTTGTACTGACTTTGCTAGTGCTTTTTATGTAGCTGGTTGTAAAAATATGTAGATTAGTTGATGGATCCACTGGAAGACCTCTGTGTTCCTCTGAAGGATATGCCCCTCTGATAGAGAACCACTGGTATAGATGAAACTACTATAAAGTGCTTGTGAAAAAGCATAATCAAAGAGTAGTTATCAATGATTCACTGCCAAACTGGCAGAATGTATCAAGTGGAGTTCTGCAGGGTTCACTCCTAGGTCAGTACTATTCAATATTTTCACTAATGACTTGAGAAATGGAATGAAGAGCATGTTTATAAAATCTGAACATGACCCCAAGCTGGGAAGAGTTTCTAACACTTTGGAAGATAGGATGAAAATTCAAAATTGACCTTGATAAATTGCAGAATAGCTCTAAAATCATGAAGATGAAATTTAATAAAGACAAGTGTAAAATGAAGCACAAACACATGAATAAAAATGGGGAATAAGTGGATAGGCAGTGGTACTGCTATAAAGGATCTAGAAGTTATAGTGGATCACAAACTGAATACACATCTCTAGAGTGATGTAGCTGTGTAAAAGGCTAAAATTCTGGGGTGAATTAAGAGGAGCATTGTTTTTAAGGGCTTGTCTATACTACCTCTTACATCAACATAAGTCGCATTACTCAGGGGTGGGTAAAAGCCCCTCCACATTCCTCCCAAGCAACTTAAGTGTCTACATTGCGCTATGTTAGTGAGAGATGGTCTCCCACCAACATCACTTCCACAGCTCATTGAAGTGGCTGCTCTCTCACTGACACAGAGGGTCTTCACCAGACATCCCACATTGGCACAGATTCATCAATGCAACTGCACCAATGTAGCACCATAGTGAAGACAAGGAGGTAATTGTCCTGCTCTGCTCAACACTGGTGAGGACTCCACTATAGAACTGTATCCAATTTTGGGCACCACACTTTAAGAAAAATGGAGACAAACCGGAAAGAGTCCAGAGAGCGAGCAATAACAATAGTTTAAAAGACTTAGTAAAACTTACCCAGAAGGAAAGGTTAAAGAAATTGGGCGTGTGCAATCATGATGAAAGAAAACTGGGGGAGGAGAAGGCAGGATTTGGTAAAAGGGCTACCAAATATGTTAAGGGCTATTATAAAGGGGACAGCGATCAACTGTTCTGCACGTGCACGGAAGCCAGGACAAGAATGAATTGGCTTAACCTGCAGCAAGGGAGATTTAGGTTAGTTAGTAGGATAAGCTTTCTAATATAAGGATACTTAAGTATTGGAACAGGTTACCAAACAAGGTAGTAAAGATCCCATTCTTGGAGGTTTTTAAGAATAAGTTAACCTCATGGCTGTTCTAGGTACACATGGTACTGGGTACCTCAGTACAGGAAATGTATGGCCTCTCAAGGTTCTTCCCAACCCTACATTTCTATGGTTTTATATTCTTTGTATTGTTGAAGCTAAGCAAATTAAATTGAGTGGTTCCACGGACATCAAACATGGAGAAATACATGTAACTGGAAATCCAAGTAACTGGAAACAAACAGTAAATAAAACTGATCACATGTCTGACAGTTTGAAATCAGACAGTTTTGTGCATAAACAACATAAGAACGGCCATACTGGGTCAGACCAAAGGTCCATCTAGCCCAGTATCCTGTCCGCCAACAGTGGCCAATGCCATGTGCCCCAGAGGGAATAAACAAAATGAGTAATCATCAATCAATCCCTTCCCTGTCACCTATTCGTAGTTTCTGACAAACAGAGACTAGGGACACTATTCCTACCTATCCTGACTAATAGTCATTGATGGACCTATTCTCCACAAATTCCTCTAGTTCTTTTTTGAACCCAGTTAAAGTCCTGATCTTCACAACATCCTCTGGCAAGGAGTTCCACAGCTTGACTGCATTGTGTGAAGAAATACTTCCTTTTGCTTGTTTTAAATCTGGTGATCCTAGTTCTTATGTTATGGGAACAAGTAAACATCTTTTCCTTATTTACTTTCTCCATCGCAGTCATGATTTTATAGACCTCTATCATATCCCCCTTAGTCTCCTCTTTTCTAAGATGAAAAGTCCCAATTTTATTAATATCTCTTCATATGGCAGCCATTCCAAACCCCTAACAATTGTTGCCCTTTCTGAACTTTTTCCAATGCCAAAATATCTTTTTGATATGAGACAATCACATCTGCACTCAGTATTCAATATGTGGGCGTACTATGTATTAATATAGAGGCAATAAGATACACTCTGTTTTATTCTCCAGCCCTTTTTAAATTATTCCTAACATTGTTTGTTTTGTTGACTGCTGCTGCACACTGAGTGGATGTTTTCAGAGAACTAACCACCATGACTGCAAAATCTCTCTCAGGTAGAAATAACTAATTAAGTCCCCATAATTGTACATGTATGGTTGGGATTACGTTTTCCAAAACACATTTCTTTGCATTTAATTTAACATTAAAATTCATCTGCCATTCTGTTGCTCAGTCACCTAGTTTTGTGAGATCCTTTCGAAGCTCTTCGGTGTGCTTTGGACTTAACTATCTTGAGCAGTTCAGTGCCATCTGTAAATTTTACCACATCAATGTTCACCCCATTCTCCAGATCATTGGAAATGATACAAAATGATAGTTTCAGTGCTGATATTGTCAAAAATAAATGTAAAAAGCAATGTTTAACTACAGCTAACCAACATTTTGAATAGGACTGGTCCCAGAACAGAGCCCTGTGGAACATCACTAATTATCTGTCTCCAATCTGAAAACTAACTATTTATTCCTACCTTTTGTTTACTGTCTTTTAACCAGTTATCAATCCATGAGAGGACCTTCCCTCTTATCCCATGACAACTTACTTTGCTTAAGAGCCTTTGGTGAAGGACCTTGTCAAAGCCTTCCTAGAAATGTAAGTACACGATATCCACTGGATAGCTCTTGTCCACATGCTTGTTGATCTCTTCAAAGAATTCTAGTAGTTTAGTTAGGCATGATTTCCCTTTACAGAAACCATGTTGACTTTTCCCCAACAAATTGTCAGTCTATGTGTTTGGCAATTCTGTATGTAGACTTTTCCAGTTACAGACTAACCCGGCTACCCTTCTGAAGCTTTTGGTCTGTAATTGCCAGGATCACTTCTACAAACTTTTTTGAAAACTGGTGTCACATTACCTATCTTCCGTAAAAGCACAATTATTCTACAGGCTTTTAGATGCCAAATCTTATCAGAGATAGCCTGCAAAAACTCTCCAGTCAATTCAGCAGCATACAGAATATATAGTAATTAATTTAACGTGACTGCAAATTGGCCCTGGTCTTTATGAAAAAATGGCCAAAGTAGTTTACTATATTGACCTATGTAATATCTGATGTTTGAGCTTCAGCATTTCTCTTCCTTAGAATGTGTCTCCTTTTGTCTAAGAGACTCCAAAGAAAACAGAAGTATAAAGCTAGTATACTGAATATCACTTCAGAGTTCTCTCAAAGTCTGTTTACTTTGTGCAAGAAGTTCTGTGGAAACAAAATCCTAACTCTGGGTGCCTGATCTTGAAATCTGAATGTAAAGTACCTACAGCACTGTAGCTAATTTCTATTTAACACGCACAGTGTGAAAAGAAAATTGGAAATGATACAAAATGATAGTTTCAGTGCTGATGTTGTCAAAAATAAATGTAAAAAGCAATGTTTAACTACAGCTAACCAACATTCATCCCTTACCTTTTCAGAACAAAAACATACCAATTACATTTTTTGCTTTTATACTTCTAATTGCTCATATTAACATTTTAGACCACATGTTCTTATATTAATGTAAGCAACAGAAAGCATATGAAAAATGTTCTATAAATGGAAAACATATGCGACTTTTTAAATTATTTATCCAAACTGTTTCCTGTTCATACATTAACATACAGTCATGCAAATTAGCTCTACATTTCATAAGTGGCAGGTGTGGCCATGGATAACATAGTGAGCATTCACAGATTAAACAAAGAAGTGCAAGCTTGAAAAGGCTAGAAGTCTGATATTTGATTTCATACTTACCAGAATTAAATCAATAGGAAGAACTACTTTAATTTTTCTTTTAAATTTTTCATTCAGTTCTTTAACAAGAATGAGCACCACCAGGCTTAGCAAAGACAGAAGTAAAGCTTCTAATTGAACCGAGTTGATGTTTTCAAATATGTAAGCATAAATCTACAGAGATAAAAAAACAAAACAGAGATGACAACAGAATTAAATACATGACAAAACGTTAAATTCTAGGACACAGCCTAAAACCCTCAGATGTACAGAAAAATAACTATTCTCAGAAGCTGAACCAATGCTCTAGGAATTGAGCAATTTCACATACTGGTATTTCATTCAACATTTTGGATAAAAAATTCATGGTTTTACTATTACAAAAAGGCTTGTTTGAACAGTTCTGAAATATGTGAATATATTTAAATCCTATTGTAAAGGTAAACAATACTGTACATTTACACTAACAGAAAGATACCAAATACAGCAAAATTATCTTGGATGTATATTAGAGCAAACCTTGATGTCCTTACTGAGATTTTATTCTGTCTGTATTCATTCAAAATTCCAACTGAATTCAGTGGCAGAATGACTGCATACAAACTGAGTAAGGCTTTCACTTTTGCCCCAGGATCACGAATGAAATATTGCAACCTTGTCTGTACACATATGTATGCAATATGGTTTACTGGAATGAAAGTTCTCTTTAATTCCGGCACAACCAGTAAATCTGACATTCTTTTTAATAGTATTTAAAGGAAAAATACAATCAAAGTTCTCTTTAATTCTGGCACAACCAGTAAATCTGACTAATTCTTTTTAATAGTATTTAAAGGAAAAATACAATTACCATATCAAATAATTTCATGTTGACTATCTTGTTTCCTGAATGACACACTGGGACTGTGAAAGCATCCATCCAGTCACAGAAGCATGCATTCACTCTCAGAAATCTGCCACAAATGCTGGATTGAAGCTACCATGAAATGGAAGGAACCAGATCTCTGGTTCACTAATGCTGAAATCACTGATTATCTCATGATCAGAATATCTCTAATTGCATCCTGAGATTAGCGGACGAAATTAAAGAGACATGCAGCCCTAACCTGTTCCAACTCTGAGGATCCAGAAGACAAGGCACACACCTCTACAATTAAAAATTGATGAAAGAATTTCCAGATCCACTGAAGAGGTTAGAAGATCTGAGGGAAGACAGAGATAACTTCTACAGGATTCTGTCCAGAAAAATAGAGAAAGAAAGAAAATCTGCAGTCAAGATCTAAATGCCTGTGAAGAGTAACAACCTAATTGCTAGAGAAACAAAAATGACAAGAGCCTATATAATGCACATTCTTTCTGAAGCCTTAAAAAGAACAAAATGAGGACACCCCCCTCAGCTGAATTCTGATTTTTCTCAAAAGCTAGGTAGGCTGAACAATAAACTGAATACAGAAAGGCAGTAAAGAGGAGGGATGTGTTCCACTGCTCTCTGGAATCCTGGATGGTTTGTGTGGAAAAGACAATTTGTCTAAGGCTAATGACTTTGAATGCACATCTAGTAAGAAGCCCCCATTACTTGTTGACACATACATGATGTAAGGAAGAAAAAAAAAGGAAAGGATATGGAAGAAACGTAGGCTGTATAGCAATCCAGTTGTCTTAAAAATTTCCATTTCATATAACACATATCCCATATATAGCTGAATTACAAAGTGAATGACAAACATGTCTGATAGAAAGGCATTCAAAAATCCAGAAAATGAATTGGTTCATTATGGGGAAATAGGAAAACGATAACAATAGGTAACAGATTAAGATGACTAACAGAGCTAAAGAATTTTCTCTTCCTTTGAAAGAAAAGTCTCCAAAAGGAATCCAGATACCCTATACAGAAGTGGAACCCTGGAAACTCTACAGATCTAGACCACAGCATAATCTCTTACTTGCTATAAAATGTGCAACAATAAAATAAAGAGAATTGAAGCTCATATTTGAAAAGCCAGGGTGTATGTTCTATGGTCAACCTAACATATCCCTAAAATAAATGAGAGACACCTCCACATTGTTATAATGATGATTAATAAACACATTTTAAAACGTACTTACAATGGTAAGAGGACTTCTTGACAGATTGGGGATTAAGCAAAGATGTTTTAAACTGGACTGGACAAAGCAACACAAAATTTATCACAAGAAAGAATTCTACCCTGGCTGAAGGGTTTACCACTCTGCTTTTCTATTCTAATTTCTATTATTCTACCATTCTTGGCTAGGACTATGCTATTTTTTTAATGAGCAAGATAAAAAGCTCTGTTTTTTGTTAGATTTTAGGGATGTTTCAGTTCTCCATTACAGAAAACAACAACAGAAAAATATGTCAACTGAAAAGAAAAAAAAAACATTGATAGTTCTGAAGGAGAAAAAATATTGGCATGCCAGCCAGAACAACAACAAGCATATTTCATTGGGAATTCTTCTCAGAGCTTGGAAAAAACTCTCAGATTTTAAAGTCATCTCAAACCACACAGTCTCCTTGTGTGATGCAACATGAAGGATGTTATACTGAATGACTTGAGATTTGGATATTAATTTATCACCGCACCGCTGCCCAAAAATGTTCATTACAGGAGCATGGGACTTTGCCTCTGTGTCCCACAAGAAGTTGGGATCAATTAGAAAAGCTGTGTCAAAGTATCTACAAAGTCATCCTGGACTAAGAAATTATGAAAATACAAATCTATATTTAAACTAAAGTTGGTAAGAAAAGAGAAGAGCTATACTGATTCCCATTTTCAGAAATCAAAGAACTGCAAGCTAATTTCAAATGACCAAATGAAGCATCAGCATTTGATGATCCATAGGTGCCAACTCAATTTAAATCTTTACTAGACGAACTTCAATTAAAGTAGTAGACAAGGCTCCCAGAAGTCCATGGCTGTTTCTCTAACAAATATTTCTGCAGACATTTTAAATAAATTCTATGACAATAATAATCTGTGTTCCTAGCATTTCCAAGAACCATAAACCTTTAATCTCTTTGTATATTGATTTAATTGCAAAAATACACACATACATTACACATTGTTGTACAGACATACACACACACACACACATTCTGCACATGCATGGTAGAAACTCTGGACTAGGATTTAAAGATAATATTAGATAGCTCTAGCTAGCTTGATTTAATTAACATCTTATAAAGCTATCAAGACAAAGCAACCGTGTGTTAGAACACAAATACTATTGCTTTTTTTGGGCTGAGGGTACTAGAGTTGATTAGAAGGTATTATTAGATAGAGCTAGAAAACTGGATCTCACATCGTACTTTTACAGTATTAGTTTGAACAAGTTCTAGGTGGTCAACTGCAGAGCTATGTGATGAACTACATTTATTATGCACTTTCAACCACATCACTATATCCATCTCTAGCAATCCAGCCCCTTGAGCGTCAAAGAAATACGATAGTAAAAAATCACTAACTTTCCAGACAAATGTTTCCTCTTTCCTCCTTAAATCTGGAATTCCAACCTCTCTCCCTTGAAATTACACCACACAGAGGCAGACTCAAGGGCCAAAACCTGGAGTTCATAACATTGCAAATGAAGAATTCTTCGTTTCCCATGGGATAAAAGATTTGCTTCTTGCACAGGTAGGTACAACATCTCAAAACATTCAAATGCTGACATGATGTATAAAAAAATCTATTTTAGATCATTTTTAAAGGTTTGAGAAATTTGCAGCGGGAATCACTGTAAGAGAATCTGGCTTCTGAACTGAAGTAATTATATTAACAGTGTTAAAAACTATTTTTTCCATTAAAATTTTCTATACAGAAAATTATTGTCATTGTTATTTCATCTGTCCCAAAAATGTATGAGGCAGTTTACAGTACATGTAGAAGATAATGTGCTAGCCCTGTATTTGAAATAACCTGGATAACTTACTTTGGCTTTCCCATTACTTAGTAATGTGATCAAACTAAGCTTATGCTAATGACACATTTATGCTATATGCCACCCCACACCATCATGTATTCATTCTGTACATAATGGGATCTATTCCTAATTTCAGTTTCAACAAACTAAAAATGGTTCTGCTTCCTGGTTGTGATGACGACAGAATGCTGCGATTCTGACATTTAATTCCCATAAAATATGAGTTTTTCCTTTTTTTAAAAAATTACCCTAATAGCAACTTTTCAAACAACTCACTTGTGCTACTCTGTAATTGTAGCTTCAAATCTTAACTTGGATCTTTGAAAACTTCAAATTAAGCCTTATAAATGTTAAAAGACAAGGTTTAATGAAATCCACAGCGACACTTAGGAAATACTGCCCTTTTAAGAACTTAAAATGCAAGCAAGTGTGGGTATATCCACAGATTTATTTACTTACCAAAGTCAAAGTAGCCTAGTACATTAGTCTGTTCATCTCTAGACCCATTGATTGCAGCTATACTTTTCACACACTTAAAAGTTTAACAAATTAATGAGTGTTTGCAGGATCCGGGCCTTAGATCAGATTGTAAGTGAAAATATACGATACTTCATTACCCATGTTACAAAGCTACTGCTCAATACAGTATTATTGGCAGTCACTGTTCAAAATGGTCCAAAACTTATTGTTAGTTTAATCTGCAATACAAAGAATCAAAGATGGCGGAGATGGGTCATACTAAAGTGCTTCCATGAATAGGTTCACACACTTGAAGCCATGCCTTGGGAAGCCTGGGTCTATTCATTTCATTGGAATGACATTAGAGTAACAGAACCACCAGCTTATTTTTCCATGAAATTATGTGCATGCCCTTTACAAAATGGGTAATATATGTCTTAGTATTAAGGCATTTAACAACTTATTACACTATGCATTCAATCAGCAAGCTCAAAATATTTCATAGTTAGCACTGAGCATTTTTATATTACATGTCTGTGATCACACTGAAATCTAAGCCACAGAACATATATATGAACATTTTAGACACATTGGGAATTACAAATTTAAATATATACATATACTGGTTATGACTATACTGAGTGAGAGTATATATATGTACTCAGTGTACAAAAGTTAAGGATTTTATTACAATGTACAAAGTGATTTTTCATGTCAATATAATCATTAACAGAATGTATGAACTAAGGATAATCAGATACTTATTAAAATTATCA